AAAAATTTTTTTGAGTGCTCCTCACACTATTGTATTAATATATTTTGCTTTGGCTTTATTGATACAATATCAGAAAGCATTCTGTTTTGCGGATATAATCGTGTGGGCTGAAGAAAAGATTATATCTATTTTTTTCCGGTTTTTTAATTAACAATTCATTTTTTTTTCTTTTTTTTTTATAAAATGTTGTTTGTTATATTTTTTTTTACTTATTATTTCCCACCCCCTTTTTTTTCATATGTCTATAATTTTTCTTTGTTTTATTCTTCATTTTGAATTTATATATTATATATTTTATTCTTCATATATATATATATATAGCTCTTAATGATTTGTATGATTAAAGTGGTAAAAGAAACTTAAATAAAGTGTCATTTACAGGCATTGATAAAGATGACAAGAAAATTCAGTGCCTGAGAGAATTATTAGTTCCGATAGTAAGTTGTATATACGTTTGTTACTATCACTCTCTTTTCTTTGATATTTCAAAAAATTATGTCTTCTTATTTAGAGATAAAAAAAGTAGGATAATTTTTTTTTCTTTTTAAGAAAAATTGTTTACACAATTTTTGGTTTCTATGGAGTAACTGAATAATAAGAAGTCTATTTCCATGAGTTTAGACAAAACAGTGTACAGTATGAGAATGCGGGAGTCTCGTGTATTTTTTTTTTTTTTTGTATACATGTATATTTTTTGCTTATACTGCATATAAACATAAATGTATATAAATATTAATGTATATAAATACATTGGTAATATAATAAAATTTTGTATGTACTCTTCACGAATGTTTGATATGCGTTCCTTTTGTTATACGGTTTACGTAAAGCTCGAAGTGTAGTTTTTGCTAAGCTATGTGCAGCATGTCTTTATCGCAGGATATGCGATCACTTGCGATCGCAATCATGATGAAGGCATTTGAATCAGTCATAGTCGTTGGACCTGCCATCATCGCCACATAGACGCTCTTTTACGAAATCACATCTGGGGATCGTGGTGGCCAATACAAGAGTTCATTGCTTGCGCTAAATACGCCGAAATGTTACGAAAGTGTGGCTTTTCTATAAGTTTTTGTGTTTTTTGTTTACGAAAACCGGCTCATATCGATTAGACTTCCAGCGCAATATATTTGCGACTCTTTAAAGCTTGCTCATTATATTACTTCTGAATGTATGTACATTTTTAACTTGTCCTGTATATGTAGCAAAAATGAAAAAAAAATACTCATATCGTAATAATATTTCATACATTATTGAGAGTCATTCTGAAAGATACAACTTTATCGCAGAGGTAGCCTTAAAGGTTCTCATTTTTTAAATAATAGAACACATTTTTTTAAAACACATAATAAATTAGGCTTTACATATTTCTGTTCTCATGGAGCAAAAAGCGTTGGAGCAAAACAGATTTTCATGGAGCCGAAAACGTTGGCTTAGTACAGATGGTTGCAGAATTTAATATATAGATTAAAATCTCTCTCAATAATTTATAACTGTCTTTGAGCTGCGACCCAATTTCGGTTTCACCACTACTAGTTTTGAACTCCGTAACTTTGTAATTTAAACCAATACAGAAGGCGCCAATACACAAGGCAAGGGGACACCTGGATCAAGTATTGGGCGAAATTTGCCTTCGTATAGGACTATTTGATGGAGCTAACCCCACATTTGCGTTGTATGGAAAGGAATACCGCGAAAACCTTCCACGGTTAACCTGACTGTAATGTGTAATCCGTCTGCCACTGAAGATATTTTACGTTAGCACTGTGGTCGATGCAAGCCTGGTGTGGAATTCGTATCGAGGCTAGGATTCGAATCCAGATCACCTCATTTGAAGGCGAATGATCTGTCCCCAGAGCCACCACGACTTCTCTTTCCAAAATTGATATAATGCTTATCTGAACTGGTTAATCAATTACAAATTGAAAACCCTGATTGGTGTCGCTGCTATCATTACTCTATTTCTGAGGCTGTCAAACTTGTCCTTTTCTCAACAAGGAAACCCTTGTACAAAACTTAAGGAGTATTAAGTAGAAAAAAAAAATTAAGAGTAGGTTACTCGTTTTTGTGGTATTTCATGTGTAAACCTACTTCAAAAGTCTGTTATATTTAAGACTAAGCTATACAGTCTAAGTTTATCCATAAGTTAGATTTCAGAGTGTTATTCTTCAATATTATCATAATATTTTTCAGACTGACGCTATCGTAAAAACTGAATGCAGTGATAAAGTACCAGTTTGCGGAAAAGATATGGAAACAAAGCTTTGTGATGCGTCTATTCCTGACATTAAAATGGTTCGTAACAATTTCATTATTATATTAGAGGCATAAGTGGTTAATTTTTAACACCATATAAAAAGATAGAACTAGTTAACCTTTCTACAGAGAACAAAATGATAATGAATGATCGTTGTTTAATATCAAACTTTGTTTTCACGAGTACTATTCGAACGATTTCGTTCAAATTTTGTATTTTGTCATTTGAATTTGCATAATTTAAAATATAAAAATTGGTATATTGTACAAGTCAAAATGTTTTCAACTATTATTAAATAAGTAAATCAAAATAAAAAAATATAGTAAAAATTATCTACATGGAATTATCTTCGATAAACGAATTTTATCATTGTGTGCAAAAAATTTTCGATTATCCAAAAATTTAAAAATTTTGATTATCCGAAATCTTTCGTTCATTCTCGTGACCAAGCTACTGAGATCTATTTCCCCCATAGTTTGAGGATCAAGAATTCAAATCAGTCGAAAAAAAATCTGTTTATTTAGTGAAGGTATGTTTTGCGTCAGTTATACTGACTTAAAATATCGCCTGCACATATTAATTAAGATATTGATTGTTAGACCTTCGAACCTTTAAGATTGAAAGCTGTACATGAAAATCCGATCATTATATAAGCCAAAGTTTCTTTTTTTATTGTGTACACTGTCCATTGAACAAAAAAGAAGTTTATATGACACTCATTAAATTAATACATTTCATTAAAAAAATTATTAACATTAAATGCCGTTCACCAACCTTCCATCCGTGTCAGACCATTTTGTCAAAGGCTAGCCATACACTGACAGATCAACCGGTAAGTACGAGACATATGAGAGGCTGATTCCCATACATTTGTATTAGTATGCGCACATCACTTCGGCGCATCCTACCGCAAAAATATAGGAATTCGCCAGATGTATGCCTCTATTTTTGCTGCTTGCCTCCTCAGTGTGTGGGCCTGCTTAATAGGTTGTGTAGGCAAGATATAGTTAAATGTGTGAAGCTTATATTATTCAGTGTTGTAATTTGTACGCAAAAAACTAGTAGTAAAACCAGTTTAGTTCTAAAGTAAGTTCTTTAAATTCTTCAGGAATAAAAAAAATAACTATTAAGGTCTATCGTGAATTATTAACAGTAATAGCACTTTGAGTGTCCAAAGAGTATATGAATAGTCAAATGTCTTGAGAGATACGTAGCGAATCAGAAATCTTAACACATACACGTCAAATATTTTCAAATAATACAAATTTTGATCCCTAATCTCAAGACTGAAATAGAAGAGACAACTTTATAATCTGAAAAAGAAAGTGCCGATTGCAAATTTGGATTCCTCAGAAAAAGTACTCCAATTTAATTTACAGGTTTTTGAATTTTTTTCACAGAATGCATTGTAATTGATGGTGGGATACAAATTGTTTGAAGTAGAGGTTTTTTATAAAATTACTTGTGATCGCGTTAAATACAATTTTCACAGTCATTGCCAAAAATAATTGAGATAATTTTGATAAAGAATAGTACCAGTTCAAATGAGCATGAACAGCCAGTTTATAATAAGAAGGCGCCCCATGGTACATCTGATTGTGGGATGCTTCACCAATCTCAAACCTATCTCTTCACCAAGTTTGTAATGGTTGTGATGAACCCGTGATTCAACACTTAAGAATCATCTTTCATATTCTGCTAAATGTAAAATCCCTTGCTGTTGAATTTAGTTAGTGACTTTATTTAAGGTAAAGTCCATTAATTTTTGAAATTCTGTCATATATCATTTTGCTCTGTTTTAATTAAATTACCTCGAAACTTAAGGTTATAATTAAAAAATTGAAATTTTTCATTTAGTAATTAAATATATGTATAACATTAAATATCACATAGCCTAAAAGCAAAAAGAAAACATAATTAAAGCACACATGAGAGTACAGAAATGGGCATTCTGTAGCTTCGGTTCTATAAAGAAGAACCTTTCTCAGTGTCTAAACACCAAAAATGATTGTAGATAAATAAAGAGACAAACTCATGCAAAGTGGTTTTATTAATAGAAACAGAGAGGCAGATTTGAACAAGATAATAAACGAAGAGAGATAAGAAACAGGTATGAGGGGTTTGGGCGGAAACTCCAGGGTATTAAAGATTGCATCAAAATAGATTTCCAAATACTGGAAAACACTAAGATACACGAAAGATCATTAACTAAATTATTGTAATTATTTAATGTGGGGAAAAATTCCCAGAAATCAAATTCGGTACATGAAGAGCATTGATGAATTCTTCTGCTAAAATCATACAACACTGCTTTTCATCAATCGAATTCGATTTCTGGAAATCATGCCACATTTTAAATAATTCTAACAATTTAGGTAGTGATCTTTCTAATCTCTAACTGTTACCCAATATTTGGAAATCTATTCCAATTTTATCTTTTAGATCTCTTCTGCTCCCGTTAAATGCCCTCACACCTGTTTCTTATTTTTTTATTTTTATTTTCCTGTTCAAACTTGTTCCTCTATTCCTATTGGTTGAACCACTTTGCACAGATTTGTCTCTTTACTTCCCTACTAACATTTGGTGTTTAGACACTGAGAAAGGCTCTTGTTTATAGAACCGATACTACAGTATTTCAATTTCTGTACTCTATTTTAAGCTTTATTCACATTTTTTTTCGCCTACATAGCACAAAGTAGATAACATTGCTTTATTTACATTTTTAGTGCTGCGATTGCCTGATGGAAAAACTTACGGGTGAAGTAAGTAAATTGTTATTATATATTGATCCTAAAAATTAAAATTTTATTAACGCTGGATCTATCCAAAAGAGACTGTAAAGATTTCTATTTCTTCACTAACTGCTTAACTGTTAACTGAATAACTGTTTCTCTTTTTTGAAAGTAAGATAGAATATTCTTGTATGATTTTAACTTTCTAGCTTTAAAATTTTTTCAAATTAAATGAAAATGTAGTAAGCTGTAATGATTTCTAACTCAATACTGTAAACAATAGATTCCGATTTTTGATTAAAAAAAAATAAGAATAATTAACATTGCATGATTTAGTTATATCATGTAAAAATCACATAAAAAAGTGCTTTTGTGTTTTTTTTTAAAACATAATTCTTTTAAAAGTATATTACTTTACTAGTATTTTCTTTTTTCTTTTCATTTCCCAAGATATCAATATTATTTTCTCAATACTCGTAATCCCAACTTCAGATGAAAAATTACGATCCTTTTTGTTGCATTATCATCGCATGTCCTCATACGTTAATTATAAAATGTTATAATTTTTTTTGATTAATTAAATTTGTACTTTTGCAGCCGAAAGAGGCATACATGAAAACAAACGTAAGTAAAATATTTTCTTTTGTTAATTTTTATCTCTCTCTTTTTTTCCATAACATAACAACTAGCGCCCTCCGTCACAAAAGAGAAACTTTAAAATAGATTCTATCCAGTAGAGTTAGATCAAATCCATTAATTTTGTGTGCTAATATATTCGTATAAGTAGTTAAATTTACAACAAAAAAAAATCTTTACCCTAAACATATTTTTGTCCCCTTATTTTAGCCATTTCGGTTGGAGACCAATTCTTATAATTTTATAATTAATTTCGAAAAGGCGATCCATATCGAACTGTCTATGACAATGTTCGACATCATAGATTCCAACCAAGAAAGCAAAGGAACTTTTTAACAAAGCCTGGGAGAAACTTGTCATTGTAAATAGCTCTGTTTATACGAAACTGCATCTTTCACACCTCTACATTTCCATTCTACATTTAAGATCCTCCACATTTTGCACCAGAGGTCGACGTCAATAAATTTGAGAAATCCAAATGGGTGACAATTTCTATTGATATGTATGGTTTTTAATATTTAGTCGCCTTCCGCATATGCAGATATGCCAAATATGTTCTTGTTTTTGATTTTGTATTCCTTTACCGAATCATTTTATTTAGCGTTTTATTATTTCGCATTTACATTTAATCTGAACTATTCCATAGGCTAATTCATCAAACTTTTTAAGCATCTAAGCCCAACACCTCTTAGAAGAGAGAAGGCCTCCACACTGATCAATTTAGTAGTCCGACGTAAGGAACATACAATACAATATGCATATACAATACAAAAGCTGCACAGTGGAAGGGGGATTAGAGAGTTAACACAACGTCCGGACAACTAAATTACGTAGTGGGGGGACTAAAGATGTTACAGCTTAAGAACTACTAAAGGATTGGATTTCTTGTTTATGGTAACCCGTGCGAAGGCTTTTCCACTAGGAAGTGTTGATAAGCCACAATTTTTGCACTACTAATCAGCAGTTATAATAATTGTCATTTTATGGTCTTCATCATTTTCTTCATATCATCAACAGACTACTGGTGGCGCACGGATCACACGTTGAATACACCTTGCTTAAGCTTTTTAAGTATTGCAAAACTTAAGTAAAGCGAAAGTATTGTTAAGTGTAAAAAGTAAATAAATAAATAAAGATAAATTAGTAACATTTATATATTTCAAGAACTCATGCTTCGATATATATAAGAATTCCATTAATTTATTATTGTTGTATTGCATGTTGATATTATGATTATATTTTTTAGGGATGCTTTCAGTAGAGATGTCAAGTGAAGGAAAAAGCTTTACAATGACAAGAAAATTTAAAATACTAAGTGTATTGTTTTTTTATCATACAGAAGTTTATATTTTAATAAAACTTGATTAAAAATTGTCAATGAAGTTTTTTTTGTTGATCGTTTTTGAAAATGCAAATGATACAGAAGCATAAAAAGAACAGAAGCGCATTCCTCACACTTAAAAAAAAGCACTTTTTCTCACAAAAGAAACAAAAACACAGAAGACAGAACATAAAGTTAATGTTTACCACAGTTTTTATGTTTACTGTATCACACCCATTAATAATAACAGAACAATATTTTCATAATAAATTCAAACATATTATAATAAACTTGCTCAGGGCTATGAGCAAACTATTTTTCGACTCTCCGTACACCTCGCATGTGCTAGTTTATATTTCGACTATGAAATGTATTTTTATTTATAAAACTTCAGATTTGTCTGCTAACAAAATCAAATAACATTAACTAACATTCAAAAATAAAACATTGTGAACTAAATATAAACAAGTTTATGCCATAACTCCTTAAATGCGAATGATATTCTAATTTCAGGAACGTTTCTGTATTGTAGCGAACGACAGAAAGTATAAGCCGTGTTATGTTTTATTGAACCCATACACATTAAAGTGAAAAAAAGAACTTTGTGCTGAAAAAAATATTTCAACGCTAAAATTATTTTATGCATAATCAAACACAATCATTAACACTCCAAGTCGTCAAAAATTGATTGTGTTACATCAATAACCATCCTTCTAAAATACAGAATTGGAGACAATTCGTCATCAGAGAATCGGATTCAGAAAGCGGAATGTAGGGGGCAGCACAAATCCAGATCATAGAGAATTTTATTTTAAAATTTAAGTTCAGATAAAAAAATGATTAATAAAGATAATCGAAAATTTATAACTCCGTAAGAAATCGCTGTAATTTTTACAGGAACTTTTGATGTATTTTTACAACTTGGGTGCTGTAACTATAAATGAAATCGCTGTTTTTTACGAAATCGGTTGTTTTTAGTCACGTGTGCCAGATAACCAATCAAAATGTTTCCTATCAACTGAAATCGCTTGCAGCCATTTTCAGTTGGTCTTAAAACATTCGACGTGGTTAGCCTGTGTTTTTTTTATATAATATAAATTTAGTTTAATATTATGGTAGCTGTCGGTGCAGATTAAAAATGAATTGAATTCTGTTGAAGCTGATCGAATTCGCTGGCCTTAAAGCAAAAATTTGGTTTATGAATTTGGTAAACTTAAATTTAAAAAAAAATTATGTTATTTGATTAGTGCTTTAAAAACTGCGTAGTTAAGAAGACTATATTTATTAATTGTCAAAGAAAAAAGTTAAGTGAGATTTTACTTTTATTTGTAATTTTTTTAATATTAGTTGCATAGAATACAGTACTTATATTCACAATGAGTTAATTAAAACTTTCAAAATGATTAAATTTCTTTGTAGAAACAAATAATGCGATTAAATTAAAAACATGTACTGTACTTTCTATTTTGCTTATACTCACTTATTTTATTGATTATAAGTTATAATGGTTCTTCCATCTATTTTTTTGCTATACTCTTATTGTAAGGATTCGAGCTTAAACTCTATTCTTTATAATTTGTAGACTATGTAAAAGGTATTTTAAGACTATGTAAAAGGTGTTAAACATATGTTCCGTCATCTTCGATATGCAATGATAATAGAAGATATTTGTCATCGTTATTTGTTTCAAAAATATAAGTTTATTTTTTAATTGTAATGTCTTGTTAGTTAAGCAAATAGTTTAGAGGGTGAAAGTGAGATGTTTAAATAAAACAGGCCATTTTTAATATGCAGTGCTTTTATATGTTGTTGTTGCTTCTAATGCTACTTGCCAACCATCAAGCCTGCTTGGTGAAACGAAGCGAGTTTCAGACAGAAGCCGTTTCAAGTATACGTCTTCAGACACACACATACGTCACTGCCTTTTTTAAAGGTTGGACATATTCATACCCCATTCATTCATCCACAGATCGTAACTATGACCAGAGAACGATCAATCTCCAAGTCGGTACCACCAAAGGTATTGATTTGCTAAGGGAACTTGAAGGATTTAGGGAAATGCTTAATATAATGAATAGCAAATATAATGAATAATAGAATTAACGCAAATTTCAATGATTTTTTTTTTGCATATATTATTAAAAATTTAAAATAATGAAGCGTAATAATGTAAATCTGAATGAATAATGAAACGCAATAATATAAATGAAATGATAGAAAATTAATAAGGAAAAAAAATTGAAATTAAACATTTGTTTTTATAAACTATGTGCATTAAATAGGCTTTTATGGGGTTAATATGCTTTACCGAAAAGCAAAAAAGTTTTGTGTTAGCAATAAAAAATTGAAATTTTTTACACCTATTTATTCAAAAATATATGCTTCGAGAACAACTTAAAAAAATTCAACAAAAATTTCAGCATTTTGTAAAATTGTAGGTTTATTTAAAATAGAATGTAATAACCGTTAAATAATAAAAACCAAAATAAGAATACTGCAAAAAGACTTTTTTAATACTAAATTAACAAATGTTCTCCTACTTCTGATATAAAATTAAAATAGAATTGAATGAAAAATTTTTCAAAATTTTAATAACGGAAACAATTAATCTGGCACTTCGAAAGAAAAAAATAAAAGATTTTGATTGCTCGATACTTAGCTTTTTAGAAAAAGTGGCTTTTCATATTCCTGTTACCGAGAAAGCGTTATTTCAATCTTCGATTATCAAAGTAGCTTCCCCTTCATAATTTTCCTTACGTCGAGTTACTATGGCAACCGATTATAAAAGTGCAAGTTCATTAGAAATGGAGATAAACTTGAAAGTGAAACAGTGACAATAAAAAATTGACAGTAAAAATATTTCGTAAAATTTTTTTTAAACGCCGGGCGATTTTTTATAAATTTTTATATGTCAAGTAATCTATTTTGAAAAATTTTATGCGATAGATTTATAGATTATAAGTAGTATTTATGCGTGTAAATATCATCCCTTGTATTTTACAGCAATTTTTTTTAATGGTGGGCCCTTGGGATGTATTGTTCCATTGACCAGGAGTGCCAGAACTGCTACTCTCCTCTCGTTACCCAGTGGACACCTGTGGCGAAGCCCACGTCACACAACCACAAACCCGTTTATAGGGCGGGTCACATTCACACAATCAAGGACATAGAACACAGAGAGAAAGAAACATCCACGCCCTGAGCGGGATTCGAACTCGCAACCATCGGCTCCGCAGTCAGGCAAGCTAACCACTCGGCCACCTGGTCGGCTTTTACAGCAAAATAAATCCCTTGTATTTTACAGCAAAATAAATTCCTTGTATTTTACTGCAAAACTTGCTACCAGCTAAAATTTACAAAGTTCTTGTTTTGAACAATGCTGTTCAGTAGACTGCAAGCACATGACTTTAATGATGATTTATACTTATATGTTAACTCAGTGAAGAGGAAACGGTCAGTGGCGCTTCGCGTCAAATACCGAGATTACACAGATATCCAGCTTCAATAGACTGATGTAAATTCCACAATTTACTGTTAAGGACAGTGCACAACACTGTCAGAAACATTAACGTATGAATTGACAGGGATGTGCTGTTATATTCACAGCACTGCCAGAAACAAGATATTGTGATATAATCAACAGTTTGTTGTATTAGTCTATGTATTTTGTAAAATTCTCGTAAGTATCTGTATTGCTCGAAACAGCAACTTTGCTGTAAATTTTACATCATTTGCTAACAGTCGCGTTGCCAGACACTATTTCTGTAAAATAGAAACGATTTTTGTCAGAGTAGTTAACCTGCATTAAAAATCTAACTTTGAGTTTGAAGTTAACATTTTAAAAAGTGAATTAATTTTTTATAATTTTTTAATTAGCTTTATTAATTATTTTTCTTTATCTGATTTAATATAATTAATCGAAATTTAAAATAATCGATTTTTGTTTCGCATTTAAATTCTGCATAATCTGCACTGTAAAAAATTGCGACTCAAATTACGGTAAAAAATTTTGGCACTCAGAGTGAACATCCGTAAAATTCATTTTACTGTAAAATCTCATAACGAAATTCTTAAATTTTTACAGTAATATTTATTTTAATTACAGAAACTCAGTAATTTTAGAGTAAATATTACTGTAAAAATTACAGTGTATCAAGTTCTGAGTTCAGAAAAATTTAATCGTAAAAAAGTATTGTCACCTTGAGTAGGGAAATATTTATGAAATAAATATTACCCTACTTTATCTGTACAGCTTAAAGTGTACAGGTATAGATAGAGGTGTATACTGTAATTTGATATAGAATTTCTTACAGTGTGGACGTTCCCTGCGTCAACGAAGCCCACTATACTTCAATAAAAAGAATAATGAATATGAAAAATAAGAACTTAAATTCGAAAAAAAATATTTTACAATTGTTTTGGTATCAGTTCCTTTTCAGTTGGGCATTGTGTTATTCAATGCGATTAATATTATATTCATGACTTATTTCATCCCCTACAAAGAACGGATATTATGAAATAAATATTAACAATGAAATGAAATATCTCTTTTTTGAAAAGCTACGTTTCCTCAAGTAAGCGGAGAAAGATAAAATAATTTTATTTTTTTCTTATTTAAAATGAAAAATTTCTCTTGCGTCATTTTTGTAATAAACGTTAATACTCACAAACAATTTCCCTTTTACCCAACGTATTTAGTTTAGGTCGAACATTAAAAAATTTTTTTCTGTTTAGACTACTTGAAAAACCTTTTTTTTTTTTAAGTTTTAGCTTTGTTTTATTGGACTTTTCTTTCTTTAATATCTCTAAATTAGTTTATCAAATTATGTTTTCCAGTTTCATATATGATTCGGATAAAGGAATGGTTATGTATAATAAGGAATAACATAACTTTATTTTTGTCTTACTTAAAATGAAAAATTTCTCATGCGTCAGTTTTGTAATAAACGTTAATGCTCACAAAAATTCTCCTTTTATCCTACGTATTTAGTATAGGTCTAACAAAAATTATTTTTCTGTTTAGGCTGATTCAAAAACCTTTTTTTTAAGTTTTAGCTTAGTTTTATTGGATTTGTTTTAATTTTCTTTCATATATATAAATTAATTTATCAAATTATGCTTTCCAGTTTCATATATTATTTGTGTTAAAATAATTGTTATGTAGTATAATTGTTGTGTAAAATAATTGTAGGAATTCAGATATGAGTTTGAGTTTTTAGAAAATCGGAACAAAGAATGTTTATGATTTTTATTACTTTCCTATAAAATAAAAAGTATTAATTTGATTATTTAGATGCATTTTCAATTAAACATTACAATGAGTATAGTTTGAAATTTTTGGTTTCATGTCTTTCGTTTATGCCTGTTAATTCTTTGTTAAAAGTTATAGAAAAAATAATATTTTTCTAAAATTTTTTGTTAAAAAAAAAAAAGTAGAAGAAAATAACCATAAGAAACTAACCTATGTATGAAACGCAAGAAATGGCTCTCATGATTCGAAGCAGATTTTTCTTAATTTTGATTTCAAAAACAATGGTTTCCATTAGTTTCATTTGATTATTTTTTAGTTTTTTTTAAGGGGCTTTTTTTGCAAATAAAATTCCCTCAATGATATTTTCAGAGCACTAAAATCGTATTTTCAAAACCTGACAATATAGTTTAGTCATATTTAAATTTTGGATTTTATGTCTGAATTTTTGAAAGTAAAACAAAAGCAAAAAAGAACTTTAAAGTACTGCTGCAAAAGAAGAAAAGAAAACTGAAAAAAAACAACAACATTCGAAACACTAAAGTTTTTTCAATAAAGAGACAATTGCTTCCTCTCAAGAATAGTGAACTTATTAAGGTAAAAATATCCTAATTTAAAAACCCAACCATAAATTTCCAGTTTATCGAAATTTAGTATTTCATATGCAGGAATTTGTAAGAATAAAGCGAAAGTAAAAAGAAAAAATATTATAAATATGACTATACCTAATGACAAAATTTTCATCAGGAAGATAAAAAAATTCAATAACCCCGCTGAAAAAATATGAATAAACCAAATGACACTGAAATCTTTTCAAACAGTAGACAGTTTCCCTCATGATTTTAAGATTTTTTTGGGACAAAAATATCTGATGTTGGAAACCTGATAATAATTTCCAGTTTATCTAAATTTGGTATTTCATATGCATGGATTTTAAAAAATGGAAGTAAGAAAAAAAATACAAATAAAAAATAAATAAATAAAATAAATATTAGCCTTTATTATAAACATGTTTCCAATTTTTACTTCATTTCCCGAATTGGACGAAAAATATAATTTTGTAGAAGAATAGCTGAAAAACAGCAGCTATTTTGAATACCTTCGTGGCGGAAGTATGCAAATATAATGATAGTAAAAACTGATAAAAAATAAAACTAGTGATCTGTTTTGTATATTTTTGGAAATCTCTTTTAAGCATAAGGAAATATACATATTTTTTAAAGTGAAGGGACTTTCGCAACATTCCGGGAAATCACAAAACTGATTAAATATATATCAAATAATATACTTTTATCTTAGGACTAATAATTTATTTTTTAAATCTGAAAAAAGAGAAAATGTATCAACTATTGTCAGTTTAATACGGATTGCTCATTGTTAATTGTCACGCTACGGACATCATACTGCAAATATTTAATACAAGGAATCATGCTATTTTTTTGTAACTAATTCATGCAATGAGTATTATGTGCTAGCCAACAGTAATTCTAATAGCGAGATATAAAAATTCCATTACAAGCTCAAATCCATTAATAACAATTTTCCTGTTATATGCACTATATAAAGCAATATAAAATTTTAAATAACTATTCACTCAGTAAACTCTTCATTTTCAAATCAGCTCGCTCTATCCAAAATGTCTGTATTTCTCGTCTCAGCTCTTTGTTTGATTTTTGCTACTGGATTTGCATCAGCTGATCCGCCAAGTCCTGAAGAAATGCGGATGGCGAAAACTTTGCTATGTAAGTTTAACGTAAACCAATTTATAATTTAATCAAATTCATTATTTCCTTAAAACTGAAAATTAAATTCTCAGGAAAATTCTCTTTTGATTTTTATTTATTATTTCAGAATTTTAAATTAAATAATAGATTGTTTAATCAATTTCTTACAGAATATATTTTTCTTTAAATTTAGTAGCTGATAAAAGATTTAAACAAAATTATCAGATCCATACTCGGTTGGTTTTTTTATAGGGAGATAGGAAGGTGTATATATATATATATATATATATATATGTCTTTTGAGAGACATTCAGTATTATGCAATGATGCTTTTGTGATTTAAAACTACGAATTAAAAAAAATTATCAACTGTGTAATATGGGCAGGAATATTCCACCACCAACAACTTTAGTTCTAATGATGAAATTCAAACTAAGGAAAATTTTAATGACTCAACGGAATGGCCTTAACTATTCTAATTTGTGCTAAATGTTATTTCATTTATAGAATCATTCACTAAAACATGCTTTCCACTTTAATTTCGATTGCTTTAATATTTTTATGCTAAGACATGGGGTGTTGCAGCAACTGGAAAATATGCTCGCAATTACATTCAAGCAGTTACATTTTTACATTTCGCAATTACATTTCGCAATTTCATTCGCAGTTCGCAATTACAATTCGTTCATTAATTAAATAGTAACATAGTTATAGCTATATTACAGTTAATATAGCTATAACTAAGTCAGGTCAGGAGAGTATTCGAATGTTTTGGAGACTGTTAGTGTGTTTTGCCACGTTTCGTATCCTTAAGGGAGTGCTTTAATATTTAGAATTTTCTGCACGTAGTTAAAAAAGTCTCCCCAAAAATAATTTCATGTAAAATAACTTTAAATAATTATTTTTTGTTTAATAATGGTTGAAATTCCTGAATTAACTAATTTTTACTTCATCTTAAAATGTGTAATTTTCAAGATAAAGTACGAAATTTATTTTTTGAGAAATTAAAGTTTAAAAATACTGCCTCTATGAAATTTTGAAAAATTTCATGAACAATTCGATCGATTTCCTTTTAAATTTTGTATTTTGGCACTTAAAATTATGCAGCTTAAAATGGTGAAAACTTGCATGCATCACTATTGAAATAATTTTCTACTGTTATTAAGTAAATTAATAAAAAATAGTAAATAATAACCAAAAATTTTTTTTTGAATGGAACTATCTTTGGAATTGCCATTTATTTTATAATTGCTTATAAAAGTTTTTCGATTCATTTAAAAAGTTTGCGAGGTTTTCTCGGGAACTATCCCATTAATTTCGTTCACATTTTGAATTTTTTCAATTAAAATTGCATTCGTTAAACTGATGTAAGCAACTGTGTACCTTGCAATTCAGAAGTTTTTCACCTATCATTAAATAAAATAATTATAAAAATATTAAATAATGATAAATTATCTTTGGATAAATGAATTTGATAGAGTGAGTGCAAAAATATTTTGATTCGGTTAGAAAAAATCCAGAGATAGCGAAAAATTTAAAAAAAAAAAAAGTAATATTGAGAAGCCTATACTTTAGACCATTCTCTTGCATAAACTATACGGATCATATTTTTCCAATTGCGGCTACTCCCTTCCCCGCATTTTGAAATCCGCCTAGTAAAAGATGCGTTTATTCACAAAAAGTTTCTCTTTTGTCTCTGAATCTGTAATTTAATTAATAGTTAGCACTAATTAATTAGTATATTTGAGGCTACCCTTTTGAACCTATAACATTGACACTTTGTTTGTGTAAGATTCGGACTCACATGACTTGGAACGATATTCATGACTCGGAAAGATAAACATTTGTCAATGGAAAAACTTCATTAGCTTCAAACATTAAGGTTGAAGAAGTAGACATAATTCGAGCGCTCAAAACGGACGCCCATTTAACAAGACCTCTGAACATATTCTGGTTAAGTTTTGAAGCTGACGAAGTTTTTCGATTCAAAAATAATATATTATTATTCGCAAAATACATTACCTTCAAACATTGAATTGAAATTCTACACGAAAAGTTCAGCTTGAAAGATCATTTTATGTAGAATGCCTAAAAACATTGTACACTCTGAAAACTGTGGTCTTATCCGAAATCAGCAATAAAAAACTCTAAAAATTGTGTGTTAGCATGTGTTCATAAACACTTAAAAGATGTAGTTCAATCTAAGCTCCAATAAGTGAGAAAGCTTACACTAAGTTCATTAAGTTTCACTAAGTTACAGTAAATAAGCATTTACACCATTCATGAATTATTTTCTCCAATTTTGTCCTACGTTTGGAAACCACCAGACGACAACGTCAAATTTATCACGAGAAAGGAAAAGTTTGTTTTTATTTTCGTACGATGCTGAACATTCCACTGAAACGGAAGTAAAATATTATAAAAGCCATGTATCTTTTTAGTTGTATAATCGTTGTATTTGTTGTAAAATAACGATAATTATATTTTTATCAAAATATTTACATGAATCTGTCAATGGGATACCTGCAAGTGACGTAGCGTGGTTATCTCGATCCTGATTGGTTGTTGAAACGTGGCATTAGTTTACGTTAGCAACTGTTCTTTCCATTATATTTCAAGTAAGCCAAGCCCATCAAGCATCAATTCTCTTAAGTGATACATTCGAAATTCTTTCACAAAGATTCTTTCTCAAAGATTTCAATTCTTTTTTACCATACATTTACACAGAGACTTAATACAAAGACAGACACGAAGACACGTGGAACATGAACAAACTAATAATACATCGAAGTTGCCAGGTACGCAAAACAAAAATATAACACCGTTACAATAAAATACATAAACAAATAATAAATCCAAGTTAAGTAAAAGATGAGGATGAGAAAGAATTATATTTCAACTGTTTCGATGTGCGATATGGCTCCGCATTTAATTAACTTATCGTTAATTAACGTTCTAATTTTTGTAAAGGAACTTAGCTCAACTTTAATACGCCATTTTGCTGATAAAGATTTGCTTGCGCTGACGTCATAGATCACATGTGGGGTTATGGGAGGTTTACTTCTTCTTGAAGTCCTAGCACGCAATTGTATTTAATAATTTTATAATAATTTATTTCTATCCGATTCAATTTTGTTAAGCCTAGTTCTAATTTATATATTTCTCTCTCTGCTGCGTGTATGTTTGATTAACAAACTGATTTTATTTATAAAAAAAATTTCTTTGTATTTTAAATTAATAATTAGCACTTTATAATTTTTTTAATGCTATACTTAACATCAAGTAGCATTTAAAAAAAAAATTGGTGTTTCACTTTAACAGGAACAATTTTGGTTCTTAATTAAGCGAAACACCTAGATTAAAGAGTTATATATGGCGCTTCAATGCACCACTTTGCTGTTAAGTATGTAGTTGGCACGATTTTTGGCCTTAAGATACATCAAAATATTTTACACTATACGTGTTCCATAGAACACCTGAATTATAAAATATTCTGGCAAGCTTTTACATTTTTGTGTGTAAAGTTATTTAAAACCTTAAATTAAAAAATAAATTATATTTTAAAGGCGGTGATAAGGATAATAAACCGGCTCAATGCATTGGTGCAATGGATTTTACTGGAGCAATAGTAAGTATTTTACAATTTTTATTGCTTTTTTAATGCATTGTACATTTTCTAATTTTCCGTTTAATTTTACTAAATCCCTCATTACTTATTCACTCAATCTACTAAATCACTTATTAAAAGAGCATTTATTTTTGAAACAAAGTTAAAGCATTAATAAATCAAACTCAATATTAGCTTACGAAAACGGAATCAAAGATATAAAGGAAATCCGGGATGCACCTTTCTAAACCGGACATCATTTAGCACTCTTACCCGCAATCGAATTTCGTCAATAAACAATAGCGCCTGCCTTTTATTCACTCCTCGGGTAACCCCATTTTCGCGCAATGTGGTTCTTTTATTTAATTTATTATTTTTTTTTTGATCGTCTTCCTAAGTTCCGTTTTTATTATATTAAGAAAAAGAGAGAGGCAGAAAAATATTTATATTGTTTTTTAAATATTGCGAATTAAATTAATGGCTATATTATCATTACTTTATCATCCAAATTTAAGTAGGAATTCGAAGAAACTTACAGACATAAAACTATACTTCTTTAAAATGTTTTAAATTGGAAAAATGTTTTCATTTTTGTCTGACTAAAATGGGTATCAAGTCTTAACTAACAAAAAGCGCATCATCTAAAGTAAAAAAAACCTCTATCACCGTGGGAAAACTCCCTTTTCCCCTGACGTCTTTCGAAAATGTTTAGCTCTATATTTTTTCACTGAGTTGAGATCTATTGTCTTTTCTGATGAAAGTCGGCTCGACTTTGGTGCCAGTGATAGCCATATATTGGTTAGAAGAAGGCCAGGTGAGCGCTTGCTACCAACTTGTCACCGGCCTAGACATACTGGACCTACACTTGGAGTTTTGGTTTGGGGACCAATTCCCTATGACAGTTAGGTGCACTCTTGAGCTTATTCCACACATCTTCACTGCAAATTTGTATGTCAACATGCTGCTTCAACTTGTTTTGTTGTCATTCATGAGCAAAATTCAAGGAGTATTTTCCAACAGGATTACGCTCACTTTCATACTGTTGTTGTAAGTCAACATACTCTACAGAATGTTGACATGTTGCCTTGGCCTGCTAGTTCACCAGATCATTCACCAATCGAGCACGTATGGGACATCTTTGGACGACAACTTCAGCGTCATCCACAACCAGCTTTAACTATCCTTGTATTGACTGACCAAGTGCAACAGGCATGGAACTCCGTCCCACAAATTGACATACGGCATCTGCATGACACAATGCATGACCGTTTGCATGCTTGAATTCAAAATTCTGGTGGTTACACCGGTTATTAATGTACCGGTATTTCACATATGAAATGGTTTTTCCCTTAATCGCATTACCCTGTGATCTTGAAATTTTAATCAATTAAGTATGTTACTCAAACAAATGCATTGCCTAAATTTCATTACTCTACAATAATTTTTTCTTGGTGTTGGTATTTTTTTCCCGTCAGTGTATATTTACAAAGATTACCATTAAATACAAGATTATACACATGAACCATAGGTGCCAAAACCACTGCAAAAACTTAAAGAACACTGTAGCGTAACTACCATTACGATTATTCAACATCAATTTGCTAGTATATAAGACATACTAACTTAATTCAATCTTGAGGTTTCATTTGATAAATGAATGTTGTCATTGTCTAAGGGTCTTTCCCCACATTGGTGACCTGCGGACGTGATATGATCCCGACTACTTCAATGCATGGTCCACATTGAATAGTTTACCTGCTATTTGTGACTGTGTTGTCATTCTCTTCCTCTCCCTGTTGCTTCTCAGCCTCATTTACACTCAACGGGATCCTGCACGCACTCGACTGCTAATAGCAACACAGGAGAGTCTGAACGCATAGTCATGAACTTAATACACCTCTCATGGCTAAAGCTCAAAACCAGGTGACCTTAATCCAACTCTCCCGTTATTTCACAAATACAGCAACTAGTGGAATTCGTTCATTGAATTCTATCCCTGAGAAATTTTGGTGGGGAAGTATTATGGCGTAACTAGCACTACAATTATTAAATATCAATTCAGTAGTATATAAGACATGCTAACCTAATTGCATATTGAGGTACCTTTTGATAGATGAAGGTTGGCATTGTCTAAAGGTCTTTCCCCACAAACACATTGATAAGGAATCAACAAAATATGTGGAGCAAATTTGATAACACATTAGATGTTTGTTTTGCAACCAGAGAAAGATACGTTTATCTTTTGTATCTAAAAAAAAAAAATGCATATTTGCATTTAATTTCGCGTATCAGTTTCGAACAAATATTTGTTCAAAACCTGATTTCGTTTGTGTTTCCCCTGTGTAATATTAATTTTTTTTATTATATTTTTCAGGATGAAGAAGAACTTAAAAGTTGCTGCTCTGGAATTCAAGGTTGCAAAGGAGAACACATTATAGACTTCATCTGTGCAGAAGAAACAGATGAAGAAAAAATGTCATCAGTATGTAAAAATTTTAATATTTGTTTAGAATGTAGTATTTTTATGGGAATATACTGAGAAAATACTGCGATAATATTACCAAAAAACAAACCTTTTTTTTATGCCTTCTTTAATTTACCTAACGCCTACTGTGGGCCTTGGCTTGCTGAACTGTGTTATTCCAAACCTTCCTGCTCTTAGATTTCTAGTCTGAAATTTTCATAAGTTCGAACTTTTTTTTTCAAAATATTTTTGTGAAATCTCTATTTTTATCGTCCCCTGGGTCTTGTTGTTATAGTTCATTTACGTCGCACTAGAGCTGCACAATGGGCTATTGGCGATGGTCTGGGAAACATCCCTGAGGATGACAATTTTGATCCTCTGCAGAGGGGATGGCAACCCTGCATCAGTAGCCCGACGACCTGCACTCAAAGTCGAGCACTTTACGGTAGAACAGTTTAACGAGGACCCATACCGCACACCCTCGGTCCCGACACAGACTAATCCAAGAGGTCACCCATCCGCACACCGACCGCAGCCAGTGATGCTTGACTTCGGTGATGACTTAACGATCAGTGCACTACGGAACCCCTGGGTCTTGAGATGATTGGTTTTCAGTTAATTTTTTTTCTTCTCAAAATCATATTTCTGTTCATTCTTTCTGTAGGATCCAGTCATTAATCGAGTGATGATTTCGTTTTATTAAAGGCACAAGTTTACAATTATTTCTAATCATTCACTGCAAATATTTTTTTTTGAATTCGTCTAAAACTTCTGCTTTAACTTTTTATTTGAAATATGAATAACGTGTTTCCATCTTTGTTCGTTCACTACCAAGTTTCACTACCATGAAATAATACAAGCCCGATAACTGCTTCATAAATTTTCAATTTAATTTATTTACCTTTTTTATATATTCTATAGACATTGCATAATTCTAATTATGCAGATATTAAAGATAACTTTTTTGGAGTACGAATTATTTTAAAAACAATAGCTTGTAAGTTGAGAAAACCTTGAAAGATAATTTTAGCATAGACTGAAACCTTCTGAAGGAACAATTTAGGAAAATAGAGAGATTTTGCATATGGTTATGGTTCCCCCTATCTCTAACATTAACGCTATTTGATCTTAAAAGCGCATGCGCGAGAAATTCGTTACAAATCGCTTAAGGGGCCTTAAGGGGTAAAAAAATGGGGTTTGTGTTATGGTTAACTTAAGGCAAACGCTATGCCAAAAGCTCTCTAAAAAATCTATATTTTACACCTTAACAGCTTTAGAAATCGATGGAGCAAAGGAGATGAAATTTAAAACAATTTTTTTAAATTTTACTTCAATTTACCCTCTTCAATTTACTTATTGCTGCCCTCTATAAAATGCGCCATTCTTGTTTCCATAGCACCAGGCGGCTTCAGACTTTGTAGCGGGAGGAGTTCTTAGCTTAGACAAACTATATAAAGGACATTTAATTTCTCCCCGTTTTATCTTATTCTCCTGTACTTTGCATACACCTACCTAAAAACGCATTATGCACAGTAGGTGCAAATGTTTAAATAAAAGAAATAATTTAATTTCTTTTCTAACAATCAGTTTTTCATGCCCTAAGATACAATTTCATTAGTTTGGGTAGGCCTAAAGCATGCAGATCGATTCCGTAGCTACACACGCAAGATAAATTAATAATCAAAAAATAAGTTAAATTGTAATAAAAAATAAATAATAATTATAACCCTTTTTCAACGATTTCGGAAATTTGACCGTTAAAATACGGTGGAAGGAGTCTTCTTTAATCTGAAAACTATGATTTCTATATTGTTGTCATTGAACAGTCGAAAGATTTAACATCTTGATGTAATTAATTTACTTTTTGAGCGCATTTAGTCATTTAGAGTGCATTAATTACATCTTACTTTTTTCAGTGTATTGAATGCATGAAGGGTAGTGTTAGCGACGAGGTAAGTAAATCATTATCATGTAAAATATTTCATTTTTAAATAATAGATGTTTGATATGAAAAAAATTGTTGACTGTACTATCTTTTTTTTTATTACAGAGTTTAAAATCGATTTTTAAAAGTAAAGAAAAAATCTCACACAGTAAACGAAACAAAATACTTAAGAGATACTTAAGAGAAGAAAAAAAAAACAAAAACGTTATCGAAATGAGACCAACAGTTGAAGCATTTTCGCAACAGATCATAGTGGGCCAAGGGGTCATGGATAATAATTTTCTGACCAATAAAAAGATAGTGGCAATGTGGACAGCATTGCGCACCAATCGCCTTTACTTTCAGGGAAAGTTATAATCGAAAACTGGAGGGGGTAGTTTCAAAAAACGAACAGGGTTTGAAGTCCAGTACTTCTCAATGATAGCTCAGTGCCTTAATCATTGAGCCATCCCAGCTCTGAGCAGTAGAGATAAACAATAATTGAGTTGAATTAAAATCCTCAAAACCAGTTTGAATACCGGATTAAATTTAAAGTTGTTTCTCAAAATCCCTTATCCATCTCTTTTCAATTTCCTAAGGCAAACAAACAGGTTTTGCTGAATGTTTTAATTCTAGTTAAGGATTTGTCAGGTGTCGTCAATGTTTAACCTTTTTCCTTGCTTTAATATTTATTCATTAAAGAGGAATTCTACTATTTGTATGTTTTTGTACTTCATTGTTGGCAAAGGTTTTAAAAAATATGTATAACGAGCGGTGATTACGAAACGCCGTGTTTGTGAAATGATAATAAAATTCGTTTAGAATAGGAAATATTGAAACATTTGTTTGAGAATTTTATTCACGCTTTATAGAAAATATTCTCTCGCTCTTTCCAAGAATTATTATGAGATTTGTTTATCGTTTTCAGATGAATCCTCAATTTTAAGCAATTAATTAATTTATTTTTACAAAATACTTATAACTCAACAAATAAATTGTTTTAAAATTCGGCACATGTATAATGTCCTAAACTAATTTTTGTTCAACAAAACAAAATAAAAAAATAAGTCTTCGTTGAAGAAATAGTTCCAAACCTGAAATGCGAGGAATTAAAAATAAATTTCAAGCATTTAAAGCAAAGCAAATTTCAAAGTTAAAGAAAAAAAATAACAATAAAAGTTAAAATAGCACATCTTAAAAACTGTACAACTTGAAACCGCAACAGTCTTGGAAACAAAAAATGTTTTTCAATATTTCAAAAAAAAAAAAAAAAAAAAAAAAAAAAAAAAAAAAAAAAAAAAAAAAAAAAAAAAAAANAAAAAAAAAAAAACAGCATCATTGTTACCCCAGAAAATAAACTATTTTAAATGTAATTAATTAATAAAAAATTTATTTTTTTTTTTTGCAGGGAAAGTCAAAATTTCAAGAAATGCAGGTAAGTGAAAATGTTTTATTTTTGAAATATTTTCCTTTCCTTAATAAAAATTCTTCATAGTTTTCAAGTTGTGAAAATAAAGGCGATATTTCCATATTCTATTTTTTCAACTATGTTTTTTTCCAACTTGCTTTCGTGTCTGTAGCGTTCGAATCTTGTAATGCAATTTAGACCACTTTCTGACCAGTCAGAACTCTCAAATCTGTACAAGAATTTCCTTCTATGATAAGCAGGTTAATCGTTTCCTAACCGCTACGAGCAGAATTTGTCAAGTTTTATACAAAAAGTGAATTTTTCGTTGATAATAATTCTGATTATCTCAAGAGCATCTAGAGCTCTCAAATTTTAACTAGAACTTTGAGATAAATGGCTAAACAAGTTTTGATCGACTAAAGCATGGTTTTGTTAGCTTTCTGGCAGCTACAAGTATACATTGGCACGATATTATCGTTGAAGCAATTCATCGTCATTCAAATTTGTAAGAAAAGCTAGAGTGTCAAAAATTTGCCTTAAGCTCCGTTCTGAATTTCATCTTCAGTTTCACTCATTTTCTGATCGCTACAAGGCGTTCGCCTTCCAATGAGGTGAACCGGTTTCGAATCCCAGCGACGACTGGTAGATACAAATCCGCATCCGGCTTGCACCGACCACAGTGCGGACGCAAAATATCCACAGTGGTAGATGAATCTTGAGTTAGAGTCGGTTTGCCATCAGGCTAACCGTGAGAGGTTCTCGTTTTCATCCTCTCCATGCAACGCAAATGCGGGTTAGTTCCATCAAAACGTCCTCCTCGAAGGAAAATGCGTCCCAATACTGATCCATGAGTTCCCTTGTCTTCTGGATTGGGTTCAAAATTACAAGGCTACGGAGTTGAGCATTGGTAGTCGTAAACCCAAAAAATTGGGTCAGCTTTTCAACGACGATTCAAGATAAAAATGAGACGCGCTATTTTATAGCATGTATTTTATTTATCGTCAAACAATTCAGAAGAGCCGTTATAGAACGCTCCTGAGGTGACGGAGGTTCAAACCTAGCATTGATTGGTCGATTCGAGTTCTACGCCCGGCTCGCATGGACCTCAACTCTCCCATAAAATATGCTCAGTGGTAGACGGATCACGGGTTAGAATCCCCTTGCCGTCGGGCTCACCATGAGAGGTTTTCATTTTGAAGTAACCCAAATGCGGGATAGTTTCATCAAAAAGTCTTTAACAAAAGTTAGTTTGTCCCAATGCTTGTTTTTGAAAAGTTCTCCTGTTTTCTGGATTGAGTTCAAAGTTACAAAAATTTTGATAGTAGTAAACTCAGAATTGGGTCGACTGCTCAACAGCAGTTACGTACAAAAAAAAAAATAAAAAAAAAAAAACAGGTTAAAAGAAAAGACATGCTTGAGCTCATACAATTGGTACATAAGGGATGGATGGTGCAATACGGTAGCTGTTGGAAAATCACACACATGAACAACTAAATTTAGACTAGGAAAATAGATAACTAAATTTATCAAACATTGTTTAAAGATAATTAAGAAACTTGATTTTTTCAAAAATAATTTTAAAGTACAAGTTTTCAGTTGAAGCACTTTCTACTTGTAAATATATTTCATTGTGGTACACCTATATTAGCAGTAGAGGGCCAAAATGAACCATATGATGCATGTTTGTGTGAATGAAGAAAATTAAAATTCATTTATTAAAAGACTGATAATAAAATTTTGGTTGCCAATATTGCAACCAAAATTTGTTGCCATTTTATCGTGGATCAAAATTTGGACTATTTCCCTGCATAAAGTAACACAAAAGTAAATAGAAGCAAAAAATAAAACAAAAAATTGAAAAACGCGTTTCTCTATGAAGTTATTTATTTCTTTTGGAGGTTATTTATTCCTCTCTTGTTACCACGGAAAATCCTCCTCTCCCAGAAGTGCCGCATCGGCTGTTTATTTTAGGTTTTACAAAAATAAAATTATTTTCTTCTTTTTAGTCCACTTGAAAAACGAAGCAGCAGTTAAGTTCTTTATTTTATTATTAAGGTATATTGAAAAAATAATGAATGTGAGACTAAAACTAAGCTGATTGTCGTAAAAACTTAGTCTAAACTAAATTGCCTAAGGCAACTGTCGTTTGGAAAACATATTAAAACAGAATAAACGTATCATATGATAAGATTTTATAATCGATTACAAAATAAAGACAATTTTAAAAATATTCATTATTTTATTTTAGAAATGTTTCAAATCCAAGTAGACGATATCAAATGGAAGAAAAAGAGTCTTAGATTCAAGAAGAAATTGAACCTGAAACTGCATATTTATTTTAGATGAAATGTCAATAAAACTAGATTTAAAAATTTTCGAAGAATATTATTTATTTTTGTATGTGGGAGAAAACATTAATAAAAATACTCAAATTGTCTCTAAAAGAAAGTTCCTACATTAAATCGTGTATTCCTAAGCAGTTATTAAAGTAATGAACTAAGGTAGTAGATTTAATATTAAAACTTTTAGAACATCATTTTTCTAAAATCTTTGGACATTTTTAGGACATACAATATAATACAAAAAAAAAAAAAAAAAAAAAAAAAAAAAAAAAAAAAAAAAAAAAAAAAAAAAAAAANCCAAGTAGACGATATCAAATGGATGAAAAAGAGTCTTAGATGCAAGAAGAAAATGAACCTGAAAATGCATCTTTATTTAAGTTGAAATGTCAATAAAACTTGATTAAAAATTTTCAATGGTTTTTTTTTCGTGTGCAGGAGACTAAAAAATTCAAATGATCTCTAAAAGAGAGTTCCTACATTAAATCATGTATTCAGAAGCAGTTAAAGTAATAAACTAAGGTAGATTTAATATTACAACTTTTAGAACAAAATTTTTCTAAAATTTTTGTACATTTAAGGATACATTAAGTAATACATAATACAAAAAAGGATTAAGATAGTGTGATTGGTTAGATATGCAGAAAATACCACATTTTTGAATAAAATATTTATAAATTTATAAGACCTACGAGATTTAAAAATTAAGAAATTTATGAGATGAATCATTAATGTACATGAAAATATGATATACCAAATCTATGTATTTAAACAAACTAATCTCCAGCTATGATAATAGTTAACAGCGTTAAACCATACTTGGCGAGTATGCAAGTAGGTTGGTGATTAAGCCTATTTATGTTAGACTAATATCTTTTAACAATTGCTGTTGTAAGCAAATATTTTGTAAGTGACAATGAAAACATTTTTAGTTAAAATATTGCACATTTCAAAATATTTAATTTTTTTAAAAAAAAATGTTAAAATGCTTTCAGATATATAGTGCAGGTATATTTGTTGTTGTTTCTAATGCCACTTGCCAATATCAGAGAACGGACCCATTCATAAACATATCTTACCATTTATTCATCCACAGATCGTAATTTTGACCTGAAGCAGAGAACGATTCATCTTCAATTCAGTACCCCGAGAGATAAAGATTTGTTATGGGAACTTGGAGAATTTTGTAATCTGAGAGATTTGATGCAGCAGTCATCATTTACTTACTATTCAGGGAGTCTTTCACTGGCATGGATCAAACTGAAGACCTGTTGGACATGGGCCCAACGCCCTACCAGCCAGGCCATCCCAGCATAGGTATATTTGTAAAATGACACCCAGTATTTTATATGAAACTGGTTTGAAATAATTCTTGTGCGAGATTAATAAGCATAATCAAACACAACTGAAAAATTTAAATGAATTTGGCATAGAAATGAGAAATAATATGCCATAACACTGTAATATGAAAATAAAAAGAATGCTGGATAGCTTTTCCAACTTAATGAAAACAGATTGTCTATGTATCTATGATAGTGCTACCTCTGTTACAGATTACAAAAAAAAAAAACTTACTTATTTTGTTACATTTATTTAATTACAACTTTTAGTTTAATTTTTTCCTTAAAATATACAATAAATAACTATAACTCAATATTCTTCAAATTCAATTTTTATAAAAGATACAATTTTCTACATATTAAGTAACTTTATTTTTAATTGTAAATAAATGCATCTGGAGAAATGTTTAAAAAAATATTTTGATCAATGATTCAGGGGTGATTGTGAACCCAAGTCAAAATTCCGAAAAATTTCTTGAGTTACACATACCTATACCATTTACACATACCTATGATGACCTGGAGAAGTAATTAAAATTTACAAATACAGTGGAACCTGTGAAAGTGACCACCTGGGTAAAGTAAACGCCTGAGTAAGGTGACCATTTTTTACAAGTTTTATTTCAAGAGTCCTTTTTAAAGAGCCTTCGTAAAGTGACCACCTCTATATAGTGACCATTTGACTTGGTCCCGAGGGTGGTCAATTTAGACAGGTTCCACTGTATGTCTTTATTTTTTGAGTTTATGATTATAATAACTATTTACTGATAAAAAAATAAATATTAATCATTAATATAAGCTTATAAAGTATCTGGCTCTCCTCTACAAACAAATAAACGATGTTTTTAAGTTCCACCTTTGAAAATTTGATTTCCGGAAATTCTGTGATCAATAATTTTTTGAAAAGTCTTGACCTTCGATCTCCGTAAACTTCCGGATCACTGTTAGCGAAAAATTCGGAAATCCGGATTTTTTCCAGAGCACAATCAGCCCTGATGATTGTGACTTATTAAATCAATATTTTACAGTTTACATAACAAATATATATGCCTTTTCAAAATGACTCAAAATGTTTTAAGTGGTGAGTTATTTTTAAAATTATGTAAATGTATGTTTTTAAAATTATGTAAAAATTATGTATTATTAAGGAAAACTAAGGAGAAATGAAATAAAAGATAAATAACTGAAATTAAAAAGAATACAAAGAAAATTTGATTCATTTTTAAAAAGGAAACCAGTGAACAATATATTCTTTCTTTGTCTGCTAAATTTAGATCTCTTTACGTTAGTAAGTAATGATATTGTAATTGAACTTTCTTTTTAATTCCCTTTTCTATACAAGCTAAACATATTTTTTTTCAAAACTAGTAATAAGGGTGATAGAGGCTTTAGGAAAAAAATACCTGAAGTTTTCAGGAAAAAAGTGCACACAGAGGAGCATATACATTAACTAATATTGGCCGATTTCTGTTTTTAAGAAATTATATATTCCAATTTTAATTTTCAGAAACAAGGAATCCATATATTTCTTTTAATTCTTATTTCATGAAATTTTAAAACTTACACAAAGTATAAATGGATAAAAATCATCCAAAATGCAAGCCTTATTTTAAAAAAAAAAAAAAAAAATAGAAATATTTCTAAATTAAGAAGAAAAACTGGATTTGCCATATTAACCCTCCAAGTGGATTATAAACCTTCCTGGAAAAAATTTCACAGAAGTTTTTCTTACTGATTTCCCATACAATAACATGGAAAAACCACTTTTTTGATTCTCCATGCACATCGGTGACTAAAATTTTGAAAAAAACTGGAACTGATGCTCAGAGGGTTAAACCTGGTAATGCCACTAAATTATTATTCATGCTTATTACATTATTTTGATTTCGTTCACCAAATTAAATGTAAAATGTAGTTTTAAAAAAAACAAATTTGTTTGTAAATTTTCCACAAATTATATTGTTTTTGGCTTGAGAGAAGTAAAAAATATAAAGTAGGCAAAAGTGTTTTTAAAGACATTACCTAATTTGCTCATAAATGTTATAAAAAATACAAAGAACAATATAGAATCTTTTCATTTTGTGAGTGATCCAAGTTGACTGTTAACCAAATACAGCCAAATGCAAAAATTTCTCACAATTTTGTTCAAAATCTGAAAAAAAAACCAGTTCTGAAGCTAGCTTGTTCTTCACACATGCACTAACAGTTAAGCTTGATTTGTGACAAAACACCCACTGGTTATATTTCTTTTTTCACAAATCAACAAAGGTTGAGGCAAATATTTACATAAAAAATTAAAAAGTTGATAGGCTCCACCCATCACATGCTTTATCAGTGAATTCAAGCCAATGTTGCAACATTCAAAGAAAATATAAGAAGAGTATTATTTAATTTGTTGAAATTTTACTCTACATAACTAAGCAACCTCTTTTAATCATAAAATTTCTATTTCCAGGTGAGTGTTCATTACACGCTACCAGACATTATTAATTTAAGATCCGAGCTAGTAATATTTTTTATATTCAGTTCTCAGTTAACATATGGTAGAGGATCTATGACCTATATTTATATTACCATACGAATTGCTCCAATAGAAGGAGATACTTCTGTATTGATACCTGCTTGTGCCAACTGAAATTACCATAGGGCTAATAAGATTTCAAACTATCAATATATTTTTAAGAAAATATGAAGAGGTTTGCTTGAGGGAGGTTACAAGTTAAGCCTTTCAAGTTGGTTCCTTTATGTGATTTTTTTTCCCCTTCAGTTTCTCTCAGATCACTACCAAGAAGTTGCGAAAATCTGGTGATTACATTGATGCACATATCAATATGGAAACCTTAAGGGAGAGATTTCTGCATCATGATCTGTGGCAGAATAATCACCAAGGCCTAGCAACTCTTGGTCAGCGGCCCGCGAGAAACTAAAAAAAAAAATCTAGCAAAACTAGTAGCAACACCCAGGCAAACATCTACACGTTATTTCACAAAAAATTGCAAGTTTAAAATCCATTTGGCATCTTGGCGATTGCAGTTGGCGCCATAGATCACTATACGGAAATATACTCAAAAGACTGTTGTGGCTTATTAATTAAAAGAATTATTTTAATTCAGGTGCAAGTACAGAGACATGTATAAAACAGAATCTCAAGATTCTAGAAGCTTTCAATGGTTGTTAAATATTATCTTAGTTTTCAAACCAAATTTAGGTAGAATTCAATAGATGTTAAGATAAAAGCACAATAATCTACAACAATTGTTAAAGGAAGCTTATCTAAAACTATTATAGTAAGATATTTATTATTCCTACAAATAATAGAACACTAAACATATTAAATCTTATTTAACAACAGCCAAATTTTAATCTGATAACAAAAAGACTATAAACTTCAAAGCTACATAGGCCATTTCCATTGATTTGCAGGAACTTCAGTTTCCAGATTTTGCCATGGCTTCCAAGTGATCATCTTCCTAGTTAACATCAATTCTTTCTCTGCTTGTAGAATAAGTTCTTCAACTTGACCTCCGTTAATTTTTTCTTCCAACTTCGCTACATCAGGTTCAGAGGTCACCAAAGCAAGTCGCTCCTGAACCAATTTTGATGTATGTTGGCGATAGGCAGCCTCCTTAGGGATGTTTTCTAAAGAACGTAATATTTTGTTGTATAGTTGCGTTAATACACGGTGAGGATGTTTAGAAACTGCTAACCCCGTTAATTGGGTGCATTTTTTAACAGCTCCGGACATTTTGATGTTTGTTTATTTATAATTGTTCTTCACTTGAAGTTTTGTGGACTATATCTACTTATTTCTACCTGCTTATTTCACTTTTTTTGGTCTGAAGTGAGGCTGCACAGTTAGCGGAAGAGCTTGTTCTTTCAAATTCAATCAATTCAAAAATTTATTCAATGAAAAGTTTGCATTAATTGTGATACAAAATTTTGAGCTTTTGAATTTTATCCTTAAAATAATAAATAGTTTACAGAAATTCAGGATATTTTATCTTTTTACTAGCCGTAACCGCAATCACAATAAGAATTGCTTGTAAACAAATAATAAGAATTTCGGTGCTTCCGAACTTTAGATTCTATAAATGAGCTTCTTTTAATAAAATGTTTGTGAGCTATAGTTAATAGTTTTTAATTAATAGTTTTTTGTATTTAGTTTTGCTTTTAAATTATTCTTTTTAGATGAGACTCCCAATAAATTTCGTTTTTTGTCGACATTTATCTACATTTCGCGATACTTTTATTAGCAAATACGGGAAACCGGAGAGCCAAGCATGGTTCCCAGGACATATGTATAAAGGTAAGTATTTCTACTTTTTCTATCACCAGTTTTAAAACACCAGATACTGAACGATATTACTAGTCCTTACACATTTTTACTGGTTCCTTTTCATGTCACTATTAGATTTTTATTTTAAAAACAATGTACAGTTTTAAAATGGATTTAATTGAAAAATTGCTGTACAAATTATGCGTAAGGTTCACAACAATGAAGAAATGTACTATTCTGGGTAATGCACAGACCAAAAATATGAAGTCTACGTAATCATAACAACACATATTCTGTTTATAAATTAATATGTGGTGAAGCTAGTTTAATTTTAGTCTTGAACCAGCGGACCATCATTAATTTTGAGCCTAGTTTATGATTGTAAATCAGAGAACTTATCCAAAAAACAAGCGACCATTCTTCTTTCCAAAAATGAAAATTTCATATTCTGAGCTAGACAAGACTGACAGACAAATATAGCCTTTTAATAGTCAATATTCTGACCAGGGCTAAGATTATAAAAATTTCAATTTGGTTTTGGTCAGGATTTTATTAAAAACTGTTCAATACCTTGAATTTTAACCTTTTTCACTTCTTTACCTTTTCATTACCTTTTCTTACCTTTTTCACTTCTAACCAACATATACAGGTGCATAGCGATTTTAAAAAGTGCTTAAAGGTGGTCATTTTCAATTTTTGTTTTTTAAAAGCCCTTAAGGTGCTTTCCTCATTGGGTGTTTTTAAAAAGTGCTTAATTTTCCCTTTTTCAAAATGAGATTTTACCATGTTGATTTTCGCTACGATTTATGCAAAAAGACACAGTTCACATTGTTCTCTTCAACGTTTTCACATTAATTCAACCCCAATCTATTTCAGTGTATTGTCAGTCCGTAGCATGTGAAAAGGCCATTCGTTTTACATGATTCAAAATTTCATGATTTTTGATCATTGTGAAAAACAATGCCAGATGTTTTTTTTTTTCTCCACATGATGGTTAAAACAAAATAAAAAGTGTCAATTGTCAAAAACCTTCCTACCCTGCCTAATTATGATATTTTTATGAACTGCTTAAAAATATTTTTTGAGTGCTTGAAAAGTGCTTATTTTTTGTTGAATAATTTGGCTTGGCACCTTGATGTATCTACAATCAGTCTCTGCATTGCTTTTCACTCCACTGAATTGCTCATCCTCAGTCTGTTTGCAATCATTGAGGTCAGCGGAAATAATTTTTTCTTTTAAATGTTTGCTTTTTATATCAATAAATAATTAGTTTTGGGCCTCTTTATGCTAGGTAAGATTTCTGTATCATATTCTATGCCAAAGGAATTGTTCAGTCTTGGCAACTTTCGGGCAGTGGCTTGCGAGAATCTATAAAAGACATCACAAAAGGGGACCAATTCAAAGGATGTAATTCATAATACCAAGTAGTCGTAAACTCATAAAAAATTGGGTCAGCTGTTCAACAGTTAAAAAAATTCCTTTGCATGTATTTTTCAAGAGATTTGAAAGTTTAAAATTCATTCCAAGACGTTACTTACATTCCAAGCTTTAGAAGAAACCTTATTGTTAACAACATTAATTTCTGTCATAGTTGATTGGTAACAATGTCAAACCGGTGAGTTAAAAAAAAAGGGAGATGACATTTTTTACGCAGAATTATAAACTTAGAAAGGTAGTAAGAAAATATATTTAATTATTCATTAGAAAATTTTCTCACTGCATCCAGATTGATTGATGAATATACCAATCAGGCTCTAACTTTCTAATTTTTGTGGGGATGAAAAATTAAATTAAAAACTTGTTTGGTCTAATGTAATCATGTCTACCAATCTGAATACAGTGAGAAGGTAAAGAAAAACCTATATCCAAGTCAAACTGTACAAAAGTGTTATTTTTTGCAGTTTGATTAATAAAGTTTTCATTTTAATCTGAATAATGCTTGAAAATGTTTTGCTTTCTTTTATGTTTTATTTATTGCATTTATTTTATTAGTTGGGAATGTGTTTTATCTCTTTTCATTGATTATTTTGTAAGAGTTTAGCTGAGTAAATTCGATGAAGTATTAACATAGTAGTATTAACATTGTAGTAACATTGCATAGACTAACATTGTAACACATTGTACTAACATTGCAACTGATTTCTTATCTAATATGTCAAATAAAGGATATCCATATTTAGATATTTTCTGAAAGGAATTTATGATGTAAATAAGTATTAGAAACACCCATTTTCTGGGCAATTTTTTTTATTTTTATCTCCAGACACATTTGGCACTATTTCATTAGTGCCAATTTCATACCATGCAATGATGGAATCAAATATAGCTACTCTATCAAATTTAAATTTTACCTGTAAAGCAGACATTTTTTAACTTCAAAATACAGTTCACAAAAGAAAATACTGCAGATTTATATAAAATCATTTCACCTAGGCAGCAATTTTATACCTCTACGTAAAATTAAAAAAAACAACATGAATCCATTTTCAAAAATCTTCTTTAAAAGTCTTCTAAATGATAAAAGGTAGAGAATATTTCATTTTGATGCATCTTCTTCAAAAATCTTTTGAAGCCATCATCATTGGCAATAGCAATCCAAAAATGCTTGATATCAAAAGCACACATAAAATTTCAAAACAACTACATACTAAGGTAAATTCAGATTCTATTTCAAACTCAGCAAAAACTATTAAAAATTACTCACTACCCTGTATCCCTATAAAACCCAAAATTTAAAAAACTTTTAATACAATAATATTGAAATTATACTTCTCTTAATTTACAATAGAGAAATTTCATTTCGGATGTTTGAATAATCTTTTCTGTTTATAGGTATTTTACAAATGCAAGCCAAGTTAGCGGTTGTTGATTGTATCATTGAAGTTCATGATGCTAGAGTATCCTTTTTGTGGCTTATGTAATTTTACATTTTTTGTCAATATTCTACTCAATTTTATCATTTTTTTTTTATTTTTATGTTAAGTTGTATCTGTTTAATCTTGACAAGCTCTTTATTTTTTAAATGCCATGAACAATGGAACTAGTATAATGAGATACATGGAACAAATCATTTTACTCCTTAAATCATTGAATTCATTAAACACAAGTTGTTTGGAATTATCAAAAAAAGTTATTATACTAAAATGATTAAATTTTTCAGTTGTTCTGTGTACAAAACATCTACAAGATGCTCTCAAGGTTTTCTTCTGCCTGAAAAAAAAAATAATCCCTTCAGTCTCCTTGTTTCTGAAAATTATAGTCTCTTGCTGGCTAATTGACTCTTTATCACAGCTCCGCTTGGTGGCTCTGATTTTACCTATATAATTCGTGATGGCGCAGGCTTCATTCATAACAATAAAATATTAAGCATAAAACTAATTAAGAAACTACATTTTAACTCTTTATTAAATATGGTATTTTATAAAAAGGTTTTCAAATCATGCTATAAAAGTTTTTCTTGCAATACTTTAAGAATCTACTATTTTAATGTTTTTGAAATATCAATTGCATTGAAAAATAGAAAATTTCTTTAGTATCAGTCAAAATTCCTTTCACGCACCACAAAAGCTGGAGCAACAACGATCAGGCAGTAGGGACCAACTTGACTACATCTTATGTATAGCAACATCTTTGATTGTTCATTGCAGTGACTATCTGCAATTTCTTATCAATCAATTCTGGTGTATCTTTCCATGGTTTAAACTAGTTGTGTAATTTATAGCGTAAGAGATGAGGAACAACAATTTGTTTCCTTTCATTGTTTATCGATACATAGTTTTTGAACAATTAAATTAAAGAAGTGTTTTTATTTCTGGAATATTTTGTTTTCTGATTGCCTCCATAAGGATTCTTAAAAAAAGTTTAGGAAAAATTTCTTACTACTAGTAACAAAGTTTTATATAAATTTTTTAATATTTAGCTGGCAAGTTTTTTTTTTTAAAAAAATCTTCTTGTTGTATTTAGCATTCCATTAAACTAGAGGTACCCAATGTATTGATATGTCATTTTATTAAATATTTTGTTCTTAATTCACTTATAGATTCCTTTTAGCGGTCGTAATCCAAAATTCTATTCTATGCTTACTGCAGTGAAACCTCATCTGTTAGTTTTAAACAAATGTGATAAAATAGAGTACTCCTATCGAAAGAAAATCAAAGACAGGCTTTTAAAGGAAAATATCCAAAATGTATTATTTACGAATTGTAAAGCCAATACGAAAAGTGGAGTTGATAAAGTAAGCCATGTGTATCTTCTTTTGTATTGATTTTGTAAAAATTTTTTTTATCTAAATGTTATGTTTCTAAAGTGGAATTGTTTATTGTTTTAAATAATTAAGTCTTGGAAAAAACTTTATACAGTTTTAAAAAGCATTGTGTGCTTATAAGAGCAAACTACATTATGCATTATTTTTTTATTGAAGCACATGCTTTCAAACCCTTTGGAAAAATCCACTAAATGTTTTTTAGATGAAATGTGGTAAGTCTGCATTATACAGTACCCTGTTGACAAGAGTTTTCTTAATATTATGTAATCAAGTATTGAGCTAATTTAAAATTTAAATAAAAGTGTATGCTGAAAATAAAAGTAAGATGTAATAATATGTTTGGATAATTTTTGAAATTTTCTGTGCGGTTAACAAAAGAAAAAAAAAAATTCGCTGGGTAACTTTCAATAAAAGAAATAACATACTCTAGCTGTAGTTTTTGTGATTTTAAAGGTGTTTCCTAGTGCAATTTTTTGTCCTTTTTTTAAATGTTTGCAAAGATTGTTAAATTTAAGCACAGAACTATAAAGCTTGTTCTTCACTAAACTTGTAAATAATNCAAAATGAACCATATGATGCATGTTTGTGTGAATGAAGAAAATTAAAATTCATTTATTAAAAGACTGATAATAAAATTTTGGTTGCCAATATTGCAACCAAAATTTGTTGCCATTTTATCGTGGATCAAAATTTGGACTATTTCCCTGCATAAAGTAACACAAAAGTAAATAGAAGCAAAAAATAAAACAAAAAATTGAAAAACGCGTTTCTCTATGAAGTTATTTATTTCTTTTGGAGGTTATTTATTCCTCTCTTGTTACCACGGAAAATCCTCCTCTCCCAGAAGTGCCGCATCGGCTGTTTATTTTAGGTTTTACAAAAATAAAATTATTTTCTTCTTTTTAGTCCACTTGGAAAACGAAGCAGCAGTTAAGTTCTTTATTTTATTATTAAGGTATATTGAAAAAATAATGAATGTGAGACTAAAACTAAGCTGATTGTCGTAAAAACTTAGTCTAAACTAAATTGTCTAAGGCAACTGTCGTTCGGAAAACATATAAAAACAGAATAAACGTATCATATGATAAGATTTTATAATCGATTGCAAAATAAAGACAATTTTAAAAATATTCATTATTTTATTTTAGAAATGTTTCAAATCCAAGTAGACGATATCAAATGGAAGAAAAAGAGTCTTAGATTCAAGAAGAAATTGAACCTGAAACTGCATATTTATTTTAGATGAAATGTCAATAAAACTAGATTTAAAAATTTTCGAAGAATATTATTTATTTTTGTATGTGGGAGAAAACATTAATAAAAATACTCAAATTGTCTCTAAAAGAAAGTTCCTACATTAAATCGTGTATTCCTAAGCAGTTATTAAAGTAATGAACTAAGGTAGTAGATTTAATATTAAAACTTTTAGAACATCATTTTTCTAAAATCTTTGGACATTTTTAGGACATACAATATAATACAAAAAAAAAAAAAAAAATCCCAAAAGAATTTAGATAGTGTAATAGGTTAATTATGCAGAAAATACCACATTTTTGAATAAAATATTAATAAGACCTATGAGATTTAAAAATAAGGAAATTTATGAGATGAATCATTAATGTACATGAAAACATGATATACCAAATATATGTATTTAAACAAACTAATCTCCAGCTATGATAATAGTTAATAGCGTTAAACAATACTCGGCGACTATGTAAGTAGGTTGGTGGTTAAGCCTATTTATGTTAGACTAATATCTTTTAACAATTGCTGTTGTAAACAAATATTTTGTAAGTGGCAGTGAAAACATTTTTAGTTAAAATATTGCATATTTCAGAATAATTAAGTTTTTTTTTAAAATACTTCATATATAGTGCAGGTTCTAATGCTACGTGCTAGATTATTTCTAATGCTACTTGCCGATATCAGCAAGCCTGCTTGGTGAAATCCAGCGAATTTATGGCGGGGGGTGCGGTTCTTGATTTTCAGTGGTGCCATCTATGGCCAAGAATAAGTCTTCAGCCACACACGCGTCACAGCCCGATTTAGAGGACGGACCCATTCATACACAGATCTTACCATTTATTCATCCACAGATCATAATTTTGACCTGAACCAGAGAACGATTAATCTTCAATTCAGTACGCTCAGAGATATTGATTTGTTATGGGAACTTGGAGGACTTTGAGATCTGAGAGATTTGATGCAGCAGTCATCATTTACTATTCAAGAAGTCTTTCGCTGGCGTGGATCAAACTCAAGACCCGTTGGACATAGGCCCAACGCCTTACCAACCAGGCCACCCTGGCATAGAAATATTTGTAAAATGACACCCAGTATTTTATATGAAACTGGTTTGAAATAATTCTTGGGTGAGATTAATTAGCATAATCAAACATAACTGAAAAATTTAAATGAATTTGGCACAGAAATGAGAAATATTTTGTCATAACACTATAATAAGAAAATAAAAAAAATGCTGGATAGCATTTTCAACTTAATGAAAACAGATTGTCTATGTATCTATGATAGTGCTACCTCTGTTACAGATTAAAAAAAAAATAAANAAAAAAAAAAAAAAAAGAAACTTACTTATTTTGTTACATATATTTAATTACAACTTTTAGTTTAATTTTTCCTTAAAATATACAATAAATAACTATAACTCAATATTCTTTAAATTCAATTTTTATAAAAGATATAATTTTCTACATATTAAGGAACTTTATTTTTAATTGTAAATAAATGCATCTGGAGAAATGCTTAAAAAAATATTTTGATCAATGATTCAGGGGTGATTGTGAGCCCAAGTCAAAATTCCGGAAAATTTCTTGAGTTACACATACCTATACCATTTACACATATCTATGATGACCTGGAGAAGTAATTAAAATTTACAAATATGGCTTTTTTTCTTGAGTTTATGATTATAATAACTATTTACTGATAAAAAAATAAATATTAATCATGATTCATGAATATAAGCTTATAAAGTATCTTTCTGGCTCTCCCTTACAAACAAATAAAATAAACTGTGTTTTTAAGTTCCACCTTTGAAAATTTGATTTCTGGAAACTTTTGTGATCAATGATTTTTTGAAAAGTCTGAACCTTCGATCTCCGGAAACTTCCGGATNGGATCTATGACCTATATTTATATTACCATACGAATTGCTCCAATAGAAGGAGATACTTCTGTATTGATACCTGCTTGTGCCAACTGAAATTACCATAGGGCTAATAAGATTTCAAACTATCAATATATTTTTAAGAAAATATGAAGAGGTTTGCTTGAGGGAGGTTACAAGTTAAGCCTTTCAAGTTGGTTCCTTTATGTGATTTTTTTTCCCCTTCAGTTTCTCTCAGATCACTACCAAGAAGTTGCGAAAATCTGGTGATTACATTGATGCACATATCAATATGGAAACCTTAAGGGAGAGATTTCTGCATCATGATCTGTGGCAGAATAATCACCAAGGCCTAGCAACTCTTGGTCAGCGGCCCGCGAGAAACTAAAAAAAAAAATCTAGCAAAACTAGTAGCAACACCCAGGCAAACATCTACACGTTATTTCACAAAAAATTGCAAGTTTAAAATCTATTTGGCATCTTGGCGATTGCAGTTGGCGCCATAGATCACTATACGGAAATATACTCAAAAGACTGTTGTGGCTTATTAATTAAAAGAATTATTTTAATTCAGGTGCAAGTACAGAGACATGTATAAAACAGAATCTCAAGATTCTAGAAGCTTTCAATGGTTGTTAAATATTATCTTAGTTTTCAAACCAAATTTAGGTAGAATTCAATAGATGTTAAGATAAAAGCACAATAATCTACAACAATTGTTAAAGGAAGCTTATCTAAAACTATTATAGTAAGATATTTATTATTCCTACAAATAATAGAACACTAAACATATTAAATCTTATTTAACAACAGCCAAATTTTAATCTGATAACAAAAAGACTATAAACTTCAAAGCTACATAGGCCATTTCCATTGATTTGCAGGAACTTCAGTTTCCAGATTTTGCCATGGCTTCCAAGTGATCATCTTCCTAGTTAACATCAATTCTTTCTCTGCTTGTAGAATAAGTTCTTCAACTTGACCTCCGTTAATTTTTTCTTCCAACTTCGCTACATCAGGTTCAGAGGTCACCAAAGCAAGTCGCTCCTGAACCAATTTTGATGTATGTTGGCGATAGGCAGCCTCCTTAGGGATGTTTTCTAAAGAACGTAATATTTTGTTGTATAGTTGCGTTAATACACGGTGAGGATGTTTAGAAACTGCTAACCCCGTTAATTGGGTGCATTTTTTAACAGCTCCGGACATTTTGATGTTTGTTTATTTATAATTGTTCTTCACTTGAAGTTTTGTGTATTATATCTACTTATTTCTACCTGCTTATTTCACTTTTTTTGGTCTGAAGTGAGGCTGCACAGTTAGCGGAAGAGCTTGTTCTTTCAAATTCAATCAATTCAAAAATTTATTCAATGAAAAGTTTGCATTAATTGTGATACAAAATTTTGAGCTTTTGAATTTTATCCTTAAAATAATAAATAGTTTACAGAAATTCAGGATATTTTATCTTTTTACTAGCCGTAACCGCAATCACAATAAGAATTGCTTGTAAACAAATAATAAGAATTTCGGTGCTTCCGAACTTTAGATTCTATAAATGAGCTTCTTTTAATAAAATGTTTGTGAGCTATAGTTAATAGTTTTTAATTAATAGTTTTTTGTATTTAGTTTTGCTTTTAAATTATTCTTTTTAGATGAGACTCCCAATAAATTTCGTTTTTTGTCGACATTTATCTACATTTCGCGATACTTTTATTAGCAAATACGGGAAACCGGAGAGCCAAGCATGGTTCCCAGGACATATGTATAAAGGTAAGTATTTCTACTTTTTCTATCACCAGTTTTAAAACACCAGATACTGAACGATATTACTAGTCCTTACACA